TGTACTAAATTAAAATCTAAATGGATCAAAGATCTGAATATTAGGGGCTGAAGGTTTAGCTCAGCGGCATAAGCGCCTGCCTTGCAAGCAGGCAGTCGTGAGTTCGATCCCCGGTACCGATAAAAAGGAAAAAGACAAAAAAAAAAAAAAAAAAAAAAGATCTGAATATTAAAACAGAAACACTAAATCTATTGGAAGACAAATTGGGTAAAAACCTTGGAGACATAGGAGTAGGTAGAGAATTCATGAACAGGACTCAAACCGCACGGGAAATACTTCCCAGAATCAATAACTGGGATCACATCTTATTAAAAAGTTTCTGCATGTCAAAAGAAATCTCGAGCTTAGTGAAAAGAAAACCCACAATCTGGGAAAAAATCTTAGTGAAACGGTCCCTCAGACAAAGGTCTTTTAAAACATATAAAGAATTAAAAAAAAATCAGACCCCCAGAATTCAAAGATCCAATCCAAAAATGGGCATCTGAGATGAATACACAATTCTCAGACAAAGAAACACAAATGGCAAAGAAATACATGAAAAAATGTTCATCATCATTAGTCATTAGAGAAATGCAAATTAAAACCACACTGAGATTCCATCTCACTCCTGAAAGAATGGCCAGGATCAAGAAAACTACCAACAACAAATGCTGGAGAGGCTGTGGGGAAAAAAGGAACTCTCCCGCACTGTTGGTGGCAGTGTAGACTGGTGCAACCATTGTGGAGGTCAGTCTGAAGATTTCTCAAAAGCTGGGATTGGAAGTCCTATTTGTTTCAGCTATTCCACTTCTAGGCATATTCCAAGAAAAACTGAAAACTTCATACCACAATGATATATGTGCACCCAGGTTTATAGTAGCACAATTTGTAATAGCCAGATCTTGGAAACAACCTAAGTGCCCATCAACTGAGGAATGGATAAAAAAGTTGTGGTATTTTTATACGGTGGAGTACTACTTAGCTATAAAGAATGATCACATTGAGATATTTATAAATAAATGGGCGCAGCTTGAGACCATACTCATAAGTGAAAAAATTAAACTCATGTATAAATACCCAATAGTTTCCCTAGTATAAGAAATGATAGTAATACATAAAGTATGTTGTAAACATGATTCCCCATTATATTGCTTTGAAGCCTTATAATGTTTTCATTCATTAATTGGAATGGTTTTATTCTGGGCTGTTTGATTTTATTGTCTGAGATATGAACAGTTATTTTCAAGAAAATAAGACAATATTATAACTTGTGCTGATATAATATCATCTTGTTTTGAAGTCCCATGAAGCTTTTGTTCTATCTCCATTGGTTTATCATGATGTATCTTATTGAATTTTATTATATGATAGTATAAAAAAATTTTATAGACAAGGAGATAATATAGAAATCATTGTTTATTTTCTGTTAGTTGGTTCTAAATACCCTGTAATACTTTCATTCTCTTGAATGGTTTTACACTGTCATGTTGTGTTTGATGCTATAATATATGAAGTTATACTCAAATATTTCAAGGAAAGAGACACTATGATAGCTACTGTTATGTCAGGTTATCTTGTGGTGAAACATTATGTGGCTTAAATTATTCTGTCCTGACCTGTTATTATGTTGTTATGTCCTCTTTTATCTTAATCTCCTTCTTTCTTTTAATTTTTTTTTTTTTGTCTTTTTCTTTTTTATCAGTACTGGGGATCGAACTCACGACTGCCTGCTTGCAAGGCAGGCACTTATGCCGCTGAACTAAATCCCCAGCCCCTATTTAATTTTTTTAATAAAAAAAAATATTGGCAGAATTGAACAGGCACTCCACAATGGTCTCATAGCAGATTTTGCTACTCAATAAAAGGATGATATCTGAATTGCTAATACGTATATGAAAATATAATCAACATCATTAATCAGCAAGGAACTAAAAATTAAAAGCGTAATGCAACGTCACTTTATAGTTACAGAGCTAAAATTAAAAAGAATGATGATCAGATGCGTTATAAAGAATGTGTAGCAACTGCTTATTCTTTGTTGGTGGGAGTTTAAAATGGTGCAAACACTATAAAACTTTTGGGCATTTCTAATAAAAATAAATATATACACATATCAATGGCAATTCCATATTCAGATATTTGTTGAACAAAAACAAATTCATAGATTGACAAAAACACTTGAACTAAAAAGTTCATGGTTGTTTTCTTCACAAATGACTGAACCAAGAATACCTCAATGTCCATCTGCTGGAAAATGGTTAAACATGCTATAGTATATGGAATAGTGAAAGACCACTATGTAGTAATTTTTAAAAACCTAATGGTATATACTTCAATATTGATTAAATTGTTTAAAATATGGTGATTGGAAGAAGCTGGTATGAATATCTTCCATATTATCCCAAACCAAATTTATGGTGATTGAAATCATAATAGTGGTTGTGACTACTCCGAGACAGGCGGTTTCATAGGGACTGGAAAACAGCGTGAAGGAATTTTCTGAAGTGACTGGAAATGTATCTGACCTTGGCTTGGCCAATGGTTACATGAGTATATTATTCATCTGTCAAAACTTATGGAAGTGTGCGCTTAAGATCTGTGACTTGGCACTTGTAAGTTGTATTTCATTACCATATTGCCTGAATAAATTTAAAGTAAGCCACAATTTCTAAGGGACAAATTTCATCATTTCAAGAGCAGGTCTATGGTAAAGTATTTCTCTGTAAATCTGATCTTTATTAGCTCTTGTTTGAGGCTGGTCTCATGGTATTTTATGTTCAAGATACCATATAGTTGTCAACAGCCCAGGAAATTCCTAGCATTTGCAATGACATTGTACTTGGAATCAGACCTGCAGGGTTCCTGCCGGATTTCACTTTTACTTTCAGTTCTAGATTCCTGGGCAGAATTTTTCTTTCAGCGCTGGGGATTAATCCCAGGGCCTCCCTTACTAGACAAGTACTCTACCACGGAACTATTCCTAGAACTGGGTAGAATCTTTATATATAAAAAGTTTTAAAGTAAAGCTAGGTTGGTGGCACACTCCTGCAGCCTGAACTACAAAGTGAGCCCAAGGCCAGCCTGAACCACATAGCAAGATCCTATCTCAAAAAGACAAAGAAAAAAAAAAGACAAAAAACAAAAAGTTTTAAAATGAAAAAGGAGCTGGGGATTTAGCTTAGTGGCATAAACACCTGCCTGGCAAGCACGAGATTGAGTTTGATCCCTGGCACCAAAAAAAAAAAGAAAAAAAAATAATAAAGTGAAAAAAGATTAGGTTGAAACTGAAATTTTTAACAATAATATATGATTATCTTCATGGAGAAAAATACTTCTTGGTCTTTTTCCGTTTTTTTTTTTTTCCATTTTTTTTTATCAGTCAGGGATCGAACTCACGACTGCCTGCTTGCAAGGCAGGCGCTTAGGCCGCTGAGCTAAATCCCCAGCCCCCCAAAATACTTTTTGTTACGTAATAAAGGGTCATTGGTAAAATCACATTGCTGTTAGTTCATCTAAATTCTAAGCCAATAATGAGGTGAAAACCCTCCAACTCCTTCTTGCACACACATTGGCAAACCAGAGGAGATAATGGCTATGTGTCAACCCTGACAGTTAAGAAAATTAACCTCTCCTTAATTATTGCTGTCTTTAAGGCAGGAGGATCCTTTAGCTCAGGAGCTTCAGGCCAGCCCCGCCTCTCCAGCCTGCTCTCTTCCAAAGGACAAGGGAATGTAGGTATTTTTCACACTTCTGATGGGTACGTGATAAAAACCGTGTAACGATCACAAAATGTTTTCAATAATCTCTAGAGTTAAAAAATGGCTTCGAAAAACACTAAAGAGGCTCCAAAGTGGATTTTGAAATCTCCACGTGATGCATAAGCTTAGTCTTTCTGATGTAATTCCAACTGGAAATGCAGCCAAATCCACCTAAGCCAGAAAGACTCCAGCACAATGTGTTTTGCTCTGAATGTACCAGATTTCAATTCCACGAGATAACGAAGTCCAGAATAACTTCATGGGGTGTGTCTTTGATCCACAGGAAGACACAAAAATCAGATGATAAGCTATGCCAATCAATCTGTTTACCTGCCCTTAGAGAAAATTGCTTAAATTCACTGCTCACAGAGATAGAGAGAGACTATGGAGTAAAATAAAACAATTCAGTTAGACTCAAAGAAGTCAGGCTTTCGTGAGAAGGGGTTAATGCAATTTAGAGACCTCCCCTGTAAGACAAAGGCTCAAAGAAGAAATTTTGCTTTTTTCTATTTTGGTCCATCCCAGGGCCTTCACACAGAGCTACAGGCCAGTTTTTTTGCTTTGAGCAATGTCTTCCTAAGTCAACAAACTGTCCATGCTGGACTCGAACTTGGGGTCCTCTATACCTCAGCCTCCTCGAGAACTGGGATTACAAACCTGTGCTATAAGCCTGGCTTCTTAATTTTTTGATCAAAACAAAAACTGAAAATAGTCAAAACCATTTAACAATTTTTCAATTTCTTTATAAACTATCTATAGCTTTAGAAGACTGGGGTGGGGGGAATCAGGAATCACCTTTCACCAACCCAGAGCGGGGTGGATGGAGAGTAGAGGATGGGGTTCTGGCCTCTTCCCGGCAGGCTGATCAAGGATCTATCTATATCGGTTAGCAAGATTTCCTCTGACCCACGGACCAGGGACAGAGGTCTTTCAGTAAATGCCACGAGGACTCGCCACGGTTGAGTCACGCTTGCAGGGTCATGGAAATCCCCGGCCGGGCTTGCCAGGCCGCTGATGAAGGGGAAGTGAGTGTGGTTATTACCGCTGGAGTTCCCCTAAGTCTTAAAAGGAAAGCACCCGCGCACCAGCGAACCCCGGGAGGAGGGCGGGACGGCGGCTCCTGGGTGAGGCCTTTAAAGGCAGCGGGGACCCGGCCCACAGCGAACAGGCCCGGCCACGGTGTGCCTGAGAAGACCGGCCGGTGCTCGCCGGTGGGCGGCGGCAGCGCTGAGTAAGTGTGGGCTCGGGCTCGCGCGCGCGTGCGTGCGTGTGCGTGTGCGCGGCGCGCGCGCGGGTGTCTGTGCGCGCATTCCTGCGCCTCGCGCGGGCGGGGCGTCCTGCAGCTGGCTGCTGGGCTGCGGGGCCTGGCGGTGGGGATCCAGGGCTTGGGGGGACGCACGGTTTGCAAACACGCTTAGAGTCGGTGGCTGCTTGCACGCGGCATTTGAGGCCCGGCACATAGGAGGTTCCAGGTGAGCCCGGGTCTGCCCAGCCCGGCGCGCTGTCGGGGAGATGACCCTGCAGCCTGGCACCGCACCGTCTTCGTCTTCCGGTACTGTTGCAGCTCTTTGGCTTCCTGCTAGGTGTTCAACTTCCATTTCACTTTTGGGAGAGCCTGTGGGATGTTGGAGCTTTGATGTTTTAATTTGATTGCCTGTGTTACTGGTCAATTTTCAGGACAATTTAAAACCCACAGTTGGTGCAGTAAGGGCTTAATAAAATATTTAATGATCACAAGGAATATAGCTCCCAAAGGGTGGCAGAAAGACAACCGATACATGGGTTTTTTTTTTTTTTGTCTTTTTCGTTTTTATCGGTACCAGGGATCGAACTCACGACTGCCTGCTTGCAAGGCAGGCGCTTATGCCGCTGAGCTAAATCCCCAGCCCATGGTTATTCTTCTTGTGAGCAGCATGGAAACTCAGTATTGTTCCTCATCTGGTCAGTAAATTGCTGAAGGTATTTACCTGATGCTTAAGTGACAATAATATTAAATTTGTATTTGTTGGTAACAGTAAGTGTTGCTCTTTATTAGCTAGATTGCCCTCTGAAGACTTTACATGTATTTTATTTATTGTCTTTTTTGAGACAGGATCTCACTATGTAGTTCAGGCTGGCCTTGAGCTCACTTTGTAGTCCAGGCTGGTCTCAGACTTACGATGATCCTCCTGCCTCAGCTTTCCAAGTGCTGTGATTTCATGTGTTTTAATGTCTAAGTGTTGACACTTAAAAAAAAAACACGAAGAAGTAACATTTAACTAAACATCCTGAATGAAAGAAGGTGAGATATTTGATTTTAAAAAAAAGTTATTTGTAAATTAAAGCAGTATGCAAATATGCAACTTGGAAATCATGCAGTGTTTTATTTAAGAAAGCATTGAAACCAAAGAAAATGGTAAAAATGGTTTTAAAGAGGTACAAATCCAGATTTCTTTTTCCATATGCTAAATTTAGATCTCAACAGGATTTTGAAATTTTTAATTACTTTTTAAACATATTAAAAAGCCCATGATTCCAAGTAATTAAGAACAGTGTACTAACTGCAATCTGCCCTTAAAGAATGTTGTTATGGGGTATGAAAATATTGACAATTACCACCTACTGTTAACTTCAAAAGACTGCCTTAGTCTTGGAACTTAAATAAGGAAAATACACCATTTCAGTGAGGAAACATGCCCTGAACGAAAAGAAAACTGTGCCAGTTTTGTACCTGTTCAGTCTTTGCCCTTGGTGTTTCTAAAGCATCTGTTGCCAGCATTGATTCTTGTCCAAGAAGTGAGCAGATACCAGTAATCTGCTGGACCATAGAAATAAAATTAGGAGGCTGTGGAGGGCAGCAGATTTACTTAAATAATGACTCCCTATTCATGTGTCATCTGTAAATAATCTTTTAAATTAATCTTAGCCTACTTTTTATGTGTATTTTATATATGCTTCTATTCATATAAAATGCATAGATAGAATTGATTACTAAAAACACTGAAACTAGTGGGAAAAATTAAGTCCTTCATTTTCAGTGTGACTAAAAATGTACTACTGGTTTTTATTTTATGATCTAATATTGTAATTTTTAAAATCAATTTCAGGCACATTTATTTCATTGATGATTATTAAATAAAACACTACTGTGTTAATGGAGTAAAAAAAAGTTTATCCATTACTAGCTTATTGTCAACACTGTACTACTGCTATACTAGTGGTATGCAATTTGTTTATTAAAAGAAATGCGTAAATCCAAAACATTTGGAGTTTTTACACTCAAATGTTTCATACTGTTTATTCCAGTAAATGCTGTAAGATTATATTCCATATTTTTAAGGGAAAAAACTTAAGTCAAGCCTGCAAGATACAGCTTTCTCAAGTGTCTACAATGCCAGTATGAAAACTTAAAATTAAGTTATACTGATACATTCAAGTTTTTTATATACAGTGATGAGCACAAACATTAATAGAGATAAAATACTGATGCAAGTAACATACTCCAGAATAAGATACGCAATTATTTTCCATCATTTACAATACAGTGGTTACAGTGACACTCCAAACAGAAAAGCAAAATAAAAAAATCAAAACCCCAATTTTTGCTTCATATAATTAGACATACTGAAATTAGAAGCTTAAATAACAATAATCACCTAATTTTATCACTATCTGAAGTGGCAATCATTATATAGCAGCTTATCTACAATACATTTAAAATAAATAATAGTTTATTATTTGCCTGCAAGCTAAAACACAGCCTCAGTTTAATACCTTTCCTTAAATTCCACCTCTACATTACAATATACTTGAGGTCTATGCAAAAACTAGCTTCCTTTTATATAGGAAATGGATGATTAAGTCTTTGCTGTACAAGCAACTTCATTTAAACATCACCACCATGACCACCAAGGGAGAAAGAAAAAGGAAGGGAAAAACCCAAGACACACTTCCTAGGAAAAAAAGCATGTAATTTCTGTCCCTGATGGAATGTATTAAATAAGCAAACACCACCAACAAGCAAAACAAGTACCACAATGTAAAAATACTTTTAAAAAGAACTAAAAAAAGAAAACACTCACATGCATAAATGAAAAACTGCACACCAAGAACTCACATCTTTTCAAGCTTCAATAGTAAATATTCTGCTACTATTTATTAAATGCTGCATGGTTTGCCCAAGCTAAGATGAAACCACATCAAGTGTTGACACTCTTAAACAAGTATTTCCATTTCACAACAAGGAAATGCAGGCTCATGAAGACTTACTTGCCCAAGATCACAGTCTTGGTAAATAATTTGTACAGGAAAGCCAAAATACCTGACTCCAAAACCTGATGTTAAAGCATCACCAAGCACACTCTCTGCCCATGAGTATGAAACTGAAGTCCCTAATGCTACGTAAATGAGGAAACTGTGGCTGCTGACATTTCCTTCCCTTACAGAAAGTCGCAGCATCTACCTGCCAAGCTGTGTGGGTGAAGTGGGCGGGGAGGTGGGTTCCGAAATAAAACGCTGTTCCTGTTCTGAAGGAGTCACAGGGCCGGGGGAAGCAGACAGATAAGACAGCTTCCCTCCAGGTTCTCAGGAATGGAGGAGCCGAGTGCCCCAGTGGGTAGGACACTCAGCTGCTAGGGGATCAAGGAAGTTCCCACCAGAAGTGGAGGAGTAAGGGGAGGAGACTGCAGACCTGAGCCTGTCTGAGAAGGAACCACTGGAAAGGAAAGAGGGCTTCCAAGACCGTGCTGTGGGAGAAGCCAGTGCGTTTCTAAGGAAGTCTGCCCCATCACAGTTTCACTGTTTTTCATTGGTTTTGTCAGAGGTTTTTTTTTTTGTTTTTTTGCAGCTCTAGAGATTAAACCCAGGGTCTTTGCACTGAGCTACATCCACTCACCTCTAAAGAAAAAAGAAAAAGTTTTTTTTTTTAAGTTTCAACACAGAGTTTCTCTAAATTGCTAAATTGACCAGGCTAGGCTCAAATTTGAGATCCTCCTGCCTCAACCTCCCCCAGCACTGGGATTACAGGCGTGGTCCACCAGATTGGTTTAGTGTGTGTGTGTTTGTTTTTACTGCCAATTTAGTTTTAGTATTTTGAGACAGGGTCTCTCACTGTGTAATCCAGGCTGGCCCTGAACTGTCTAGGTAACCAAGGTTGGCCTAGAATTTGAAGTATGCCTGACGCAGCCTCCTGAGTACAGGAATTCCAGGTATGCACCACTGCCGGGCTGAGAGTGTTTTAAGAGCCCTGGTTTAAGGAGTCCCTCCCTGGAAGGTGGGGAGTGGAGACATTCACTGTAGACACAAGTTCATTTTGTTTGGCCTTGTGAGATACAAGGAAGTTGTGGGAGTGCAAAGTGGGATTGAAGAGGATATTTGTTTGCTTGATTTCATTTGGAAGCTGAGGCAGGCTTCAGTGATTGTTATGTGGAAGGAAAAGAGCCTGGAGAGAATGAGAGCTGAGCAAGGGAAGGGAGATAGAAAAAGTCGGGGCAAGATGTCTGTGGTCCTGGGAAATCGGCCATAAAGAGGATCCCAGAAAGGAGCAGCCAGTACGTTGTGAGTGGAGACAGGCGTGGATAGGAGAATTCCAAAAGGTTACTGCTCAGCCCTGTCTCTGAGAATGAAATCCAGGGGGTGGAAATGGAAAAGGCAGTCAGAAGGGTTGTCTGGGGCTGATGGGGGCAAGGCGGGATTGGTAAGGGACCAGGAGGTGTGAAGCACAGTGAGGGACCAGTCTACAGGGGTGCAGATCTTCTGCGGTGCTTGGAAGCCCAGGTGGTGGGAAATGCTAGGACAGAGGCTAAATTGATTCACTAAAGTGAATTCAGTAAAGTGTATTCACTGTGCCACACAGTGGCGTCCACAGCTCCACAAATGTATGTCTTGTTTCCAGACTAAAGCATCTTTAGAGTAAGACGTGTGTGAGGAGTTTGCAAACTCCAGTGCGTACGGTGGGTGGTTCTTTTAAAAAAAGCAAACTCTGCGTTTTGGTGTGAGTGAATATTTTTCCTTTCCACCAAGAAATAGAGTTCTTTTATTTTTTACAAAATGAGTATTCCTCTTTATCTAACTTTCGTTTTTGTTACTTTTGCTAGATGTGGTTATTACAGTGATTCTATGCTCCTCCTAATTCTTCTGTCAAAGAAAGAGAGCCAGGTCAGTGACAAACAGCGAGTGGCAGTCATTGTAGGAGCCAAAGTTCTGTGCCCAAGTGGAGAGGACGTGTCTTTCTACAGGGCGCGGCCGTGCCAGGCTGTACCTGATTGTGGCCATGCGGAAGCACAGGGCCAGTGCTGCCAGCTGTTCTCAAGTCACAAGTGTGATATCTAGAATGTGTTGGGGAATCTCTTACATGTAAAAAATGTTAGCAATTAACTATAAGATTTGAAAACAATTAAGTGTGGTCGTACCTACCTATAATCCTAACATTCTGGAGGCTGATGCAGGAGGATCTCAAATTCAAGACCAGCATGGGGTTATGTAGTGAGAACCTGCCTCAGAAAACAAAAGCAAAACAAATGAACAAAGCTGTCATGGTGCCTGCTCATGGATGTTGAAGCAGAGGGATTATTGCTAGAAGGTAGCCTGAGTTACACAGCAAATTCTAATCTAACTTTAGCTATATGTAGCAAGACCCTGTCTCAAAAGGGAAAAAAAAAAGATTTAAAAAGATTGTGGCCTCGCTGGCATAGTGGCACATACTTGTAATCCCAGCACTTGGGAGACTGAGGCAGGAGGATCACCATGAGCTCAAGGCCAGCCTGGGCTGCATGGTAAATTCAAAGCCAGCTGGACTACATAATAAATCCCTGTCTCAAAACAACAGCACCAGCAAAAATGTTTTGTGGCCCAAGAAAAGCTTATTTAGGAATCTGCTGATATTCAAATAAAGTATGTGGATTAGTCGACAGTGTTGTATCCATGTTAATTTCTTGGTTTTTATAATTGTACCAAGATTATATAAGATACTAATTTTGAAGAAGATGAGTGTAGAGAATGTTCAAGTATAAATTAACTTTTAAAAAGTTTGAAAAAATTAGCAAAATACTGTAATCCAGTTCTGGCTCAGCCAAACATGAGATATCTGCTGGCCATCAGTTTGAGACTTGTCTTTGTGTGGAATTTCTTGGCCCATTGGTGTCTAATACAGTTTTCTTTCTTTTTTTTTTTTTTTCGTGTGTGTATAGCTGGGAATTGAACCCAGGACTTGGGCATGTTAAACAAACAGTAAGCTATACTGCTTAGTATAGCTAGTGTAGCATCTTGTAAGTGGTAGACAATTAGTCAACACTAGTACTCTATTTTGGAGAAAATCGTTTTTCTTTTCTTTTAGTGTTTAGTTTAATTATACACACACATGAAAGCAAGTCAATCATCACTATGAACAGAAAAATACTTCCTTTTGAGTTCTATTCTGTGATTCTACCAGGGATCAAACTCACTACTTCCTGCTTGCCAGACAGGTGCTTATGCCGCTGAGCTAAATCCCCAGCTCGGTCTGCGATTCTTTAAAGGTAGTTAAACTGGTGCTAGCGTGAAGCTGAGGCTTCTGGATGGTAACTGTGCAAAGATTTCCTGATGTGCTGCAGGACTTAGTAAATGAAGCCTAATTACAGCGCTGCCTGATCCTTCTCCTGCCACCACTGACAGCAGCTTAGCGTTAGTGCGTCATCACGGGAATTTTTGCTGCTGTTACTCTGTATGGCTGTGTTCCACTCAGGTAGATGGAGAAATTCATTGGTAAGTGCACACAGACAGGTGAATGCAGGATGCCCTGGGAAGGTGGTTTAAGGAAAAGGTTGTCGTGAATTATTTGATTTTTGTGAATTATTTATGTGACATTTGATTTTTGAAACTCTTTTTAAACAGGCTTACAAAGGACGCAAACTATTCTACTTCTTCCAGATTTTTTCTAGTTTCTTGTGTAAATCAAAACATCTCAAAATGGAGGCCTAAACCCTAAAAAGGGGCAGTCTAATCTCGGGAGGTAGTTTTGTGCATGAAAAAACAAATTAATAGTTAATTAGACTTTTGGGTATAATGCCCAAAGAATGTTAATTGATAAATATAATCTAATTCTATGAAATGTAACTATAATGATTTTGATTTTAAATTTGATTTGTGGAAGTAAAGAAGTGATTACCATGGAAGCATATTGTTAAAGCATTTTTTCACAGTTAGGCAATCTCGCATGGGCTTCTCTCCAGAACTAAAAAAAAAAAAATACCTGCATTTGATAAAGGTTTTAAAATGAATGACAGTTATCTAGAACAAAAAGGTAATCAACCTTCTGCAAGATTAGAGAAATATTCAAATGAAGAATTTGATATATTAAAGAACTTGTACAATGACAGTGAATGTCAAGACCAGAACTTTTCCATAGACAGCACAAATTTAGAAAAAGTAAAAAAGATAAGTGTGATGATTAGTGAAGAAATAATCCACTGTGTAAAGACCACTGATATTTTAAAAGTTTAAAATTTATTTTGGTCAAATAGGTCATTATCTCGGGGGATGATAAGCCTGAGAATCGATGGTTCAGTGGTTACATTTTAGGAAACAAATGAGCTTATTCAGAAATAACTTTTATATAAAGAAAAATTTTATAGCAGTCTCCAAAGTGTTGGCCATTGAAGAGAATAATAAAGTTGGGCACAATAACTTATTGTGAGGGAAGTAATTATTTGCAACAAGCTGTGATGTTTCTTCTGCTGCCTGGAAACCAAGTGTTGAAATCGGCACCGCGGTTGCAAATCCTGGTAGAAAAAGCACTGTGACATTTTATTGGCCATTGCTAAAACAATGACGGGACATAACTTTCCATCATGAAAAGAAGCCAGCTTTGTGAGGCTTATCTACAGCTTGAGTGACTGGGACAGATGCATTCCAGTGACCTGGAGAAGCTGACCTACTTGTTAAGCTGTCCAACATACAATGGCAACACAAAACACTTATACTTCCATGCGAGATTTAGTTTTCATCATGGGTTATTATGAGCATCATATATACATTGAACATATAAAGATTATACAAAGGTACAGTTGCGCATAATTGTGCCTTAAGACATAATCATATGGGATTTAGAATCTCACCAAGCTGAAACCCTAAATGCACAGAAGAAATTAGAGTTTGCATTTTTAATATTCAACCTAATAGTCAAACTGAATAAATCAAAAGTCATGCACAAAACTACCTCCCCAGAGAAAGACTGGTCCCTTTTCCTCCCCATCCATTTCATTATGAATGTTGTAGAAAATAGCATCTTCTTATCAAATTTGATGAAAAGTGCCAACACGTTTGAACTGAAGTACGACTTCTCATGTGAACTGTACCGCATGTCCACATACTCAGCTTTTCCCAGCGGTGTCCCCGTCTCAGAGAGGAGTCTTGCTCGTGCTGGCTTCTATTACACCGGTGTGAAAGACAAGGTCAAATGCTTCTGTTGCGGCCTGATGCTGGATAACTGGAAACAAGGAGACAATCCAATTGAAAAGCATAAAAAGTTATATCCCAGCTGCAGCTTTGTCCAGAATTTAACTTCAGCTAACAGTCTGGAAGCTACCTCTCAGCCTGCTTTTCCTTCTTCAGTAACAAATTACACACATTCGTTACCTCCAAGTTTGGAAAACAGTGGCTATTTCAGTGGCTCTTACTCAAGCTTTCCATCAAGTCCTGTAAACTTCAGAGCAAATCAAGATTTTTCTGCCTTGAGGACCAGTCCCTCCCAATGTGCAATGGGTACTGAAAAGGCCAGATTACTCACTTACCAAATGTGGCCATTGACTTTTCTGTCACCGACAGATCTGGCTAAAGCAGGCTTTTACTACATTGGACCTGGGGACAGAGTGGCCTGCTTTGCCTGTGGGGGAAAACTGAGCAACTGGGAGCCGAAGGACGATGCAATGTCAGAACACCGGAGACATTTTCCTCACTGCCCCTTTTTAGAAAATCAGCTTCACGGTACTTCGAGATACACCGTCTCTAATCTAAGCATGCAGACGCATGCAGCACGCTTCAAAACATTCTTCAACTGGCCTTCAAGCCTTCTAGTCCATCCCGAGCAACTTGCCAGTGCGGGTTTTTATTATGTGGGTAAGAAACTTAATTTGCTCATTTAAAAAATTCAAAATGTTTCATCTTATATAATTTAGTAGACAAATTATATGCATTGATAAACTTTGGTCTAACATTAATTTTAGGACATAGCGATGATGTCAAGTGCTTTTGCTGTGATGGTGGCTTGAGGTGTTGGGAATCCGGAGATGACCCTTGGGTGGAGCATGCCAAGTGGTTTCCAAGGTAATTGTTTTCAGATTCTCTTCACCTGCTTTTCGATTCTCATCATGTGGGCTTTCTGTGTTGAGTTGATAATTGGCTGTTAAGTATTCTGCCTTTGTTCCAAAGATACATTTGTAAATTTAAAACAGATTACTTACAAAAATTGTAATTTGAAAGGTTCTGATGAACTTAAGGTGGAGAAGAAATAGGTTTAAGATATTTTTAATTTTTTAGGAATATATTTAAAAATATTACCTACTCATTATAAAGTCACACGGTACAGAAAAGTACAGAGAAAGAAAATGTCCAGGATCCAGCCTCCAAGTATCTGCCTTATATCCATCTATCTATAGGAATATATGTAATTTGACTTCATAGTAGGACTAGTGGTAAATCAAATTCATTTAAATGTTACAAATAGTTTTGGACTTTTTTTCAGTCAATATCTTCTGCAATGTATTTCATTCAGTATTCATTCATCATTCTTTAATGGGGATCATGTATTGATAGGTGCTGTTCTAAGTGGCACATAAAATATTCTGTTGAACAAAGCAAAAACCCTCCAGTCGCATAAGCTCATTTTATATCAGGACAGATGATTAAAAACAAGTTAATACGTTATGTAGCATTTGAAGATAATAAATGCCACCAATAAAAATAAAAAATGAGGGCTGGGAGGTAGCCCAGTGGCAGGGTACTAGCTGTGAGTTCAGACCTCATCACCGGGGGGAAAAGGGAGAGCAGGGTAAGGAGAGCTGTCCAAGGGAAGTTTTGATGCTAAGCAGGGTGGTCAGGGAACGTACAAACACATCTCATCTGTTTCAATGACCGCATACAAACACATCACATCTGTTTCAATGATCATTCTTGATCATTGAATGCGCTCCTATTTCATCTAAAGCAAATTACCTATAATTACATTTTGCATAGTCAAAACTTTTAGTATTGTTTAATGTTGATCACCAAATTCATTATTCTAACATTTTCATTAATACATTTGTATATGGTATGTTATTTTCATTTATAGCAACTTCGTGCTCCCTATCTTTTGTTAAGTTTTAAAACTATAAGGATTATGAGGTCTGCATGTATGCTTTTTAAAAATTTCTTTCCATTTTGGTAGTAATGAGAATATTAAAAAAATAGTGAATTTTCTTTGGTGGTGAGTTCAATTCATTTTGTACTTAAGTGTGATAATGGATGTATATGTCACAGGAACTGAAAAACCGTGAGTATCTGATACTGGAAGATGTCTTCAGTTCCTTTGTTCTGTCTCTATTGTTCTTCTTTATTTTCAGCCTTGAAGACTAACATGAGCTGGATCGCTTATTTGGAGAACTTTGTGTCTCTGTATTTTCTGTTGTTGATGCATGTTTTAGGGTGTTTTCAAAAGTCCCAGAGTAATTGAAGAGAACAGTGAGGAGTCTAAGTGGGGACAGCCTTCCTGGGCTGCAGCAAGTAGGCTGAGAGATTCCCAAAGTTCACCACTTCAGCCATGCAAAAAGCCAGTCCTGCCTTCCCTGCCCGCATCAGTTTCCTTCCTGCAATGCCTCTTATCACTTGCTCGGACTAAAAGAAGACTGACGTGATATGCATGTTTATGCCCATTTGAAATATGTACCAGTTTATAAATGACTAGATTCACTGTGTTCAAATTAAGATAAACATTTAGGGCTTTTTAAAAATTAGCTGAAGCATGATTGTGCCTGAAAATTAAAATTCATAAAACCGATTTTGTAAAACATTCAAACTGTATGAAAAAAAATACTTGTAGCGAGTTAAATTCATGTTAACTGCAAATTTAAACATTCACAACCAAAACAATTTGAATTATATTAAGGGATATTTTATAGGTTACTTTTACAAAAAACAAAAACACTTTTAAAAAAGATAAATAGCAAAGAATTACCACAGGATAGGCCCAACTTATTCTTACAACTTTACTTTTAGGATTAGTGATCTTAAATGATTGTATGATTTGAGGCCTTCACTCAGATTTCAAGTAGAATAAACATGATGAGGAATTTGTTATTAAATTCCTTTTTTTTTTATAAAATAATGCTTCACATTGTATTTTGTTTACATTTCAGGTGTGAGTACTTGATACAGATTAAAGGACAAGAGTTCATCAGTCAAGTTCAAGCCAGTTATCCTCATCTGCTTGAACAGGTGGGGAAGGAAAGGTGTTTTTTTTTAATATACAAATCATTGGTTACCAAAAAAAATGATTTTTTTGTTAATTAAAGAGGAGTGTTTCAGTGAAAAAATAAAAGTTATTTTTAAAAACTCAAGTCATTTTAAAGACATATTTTCTTTTTCTCACAAAGTTTAACATGATCCTAGAAAGTACTATTTTTCTGAGAAAAATAGATTATTAGGAACTTTCTGAAAAATAATAATTGCTGTGTTTTCTTCAAACATTTCTCCAGTAAAGGTACAGTACATAAACAATTTGAGGAAAAAGTAAGATGGGATATACCATTTAATAGTTTTACTATCTAAATTTTTCTTTAAAGGATTTAAGAAAGAGAAATGTGCTATTCCTCCTAATCTGGGAAAAGCACACACAAACTTATATACTAGGTTGAGGTTCAAAAACTTCCCAGCAATGGTCTGTGGACTCCGTAGAGCTTCTGATCTATCCCCAGTGGTGACACAGGAAACATAAACTGCATGAAGCCAGACTGATAATCTTGGAGACAACTGAAAAGCTGTAGCCCTTTTCCTGTTTCCGCGCACGCAGAAACTCTGTTAGCTCACGGCCTGGGGAATAACTTGGGAATGAAAATGAAACACTGCTTTTGATTAAAAATAGTTGCCAGTGCTCACCATGGTACACGTATACTAAAAACAATTGCCAGTTAGCAAATCAGTTTGCAGTACGTGGACTAAGATAAGCCTGCTGACTCATTTATATTGCAATAGGCAGGATAAAGGTTATATATTAACTTCCATGCGTATATTTGTTTCTGTAGCTATTGTCCACATCAGATACCCCAGAAGATGAAAATGCAGAGTCACCAAGTATGTATAAAAGATAATAATTACTGCTTTAAAATCTAACTATTTGGTATTGCTAAGATTGAAAGGTAGTAATAATGTATATTTGTATTAATCTGTAATTTGCAATACATTTTCAAATGTATTATGTTAAACTTCACTGGGTATCAGAGTTGCCTGGAGAACTTTAAAAATAGTGTAAATTTCTAGTTTAAGCTTCAGACCTGATGGAATCCAGATATATAAGGATGAGCTTGGATATTTATAGTTATTTTTAGGAGTTCTGGGGACTGAATCAAGAGCTACACCCCCAGCCTTGGACGTCTGTAATTTTAATAAGCAATATGCACCTATCCTAACCCTTGTTCGATCTATCTATCTATTTATTTATTTATTTAAGGCCTTACTATTTAGTTCAGGCTAGCCTTGAACGTGCAGTGATCCTCCTGCCCTAGCCTCCCAAGTGCTGGCATTACAGGTGTGTGCTACCACGCCTGGCCTAACCCTTGTTCTTGAACTAGCATGGAAGCAAATGTACTGTGACATTAGACTGATTATATGTACTTTCTCTGGAATGGAGAAGATAGAAAATACTGTTTCTATTCTTTAATAGGAGATTATTTCTATTCTTTAATAGAGAGGTTAAGAGGTTTGTTCATTATCTTATACCTGAAAGGGGAAAAAGCAAATATTTGAACAAGTGCTTCTATTCCATTTTTAGTGTGTGATTCAGTTCAGTAAATATTTATTATTTTTTTTTAGCTGTTCTAAGGAAGAAAAACAGGATGTGCATGGCTCATGAGCTAATAATGATAGGGACACTGATAAATACACAGATAAAAGGGAACTGCTGGGGATAATTAAGTGGCTATGACAGTGCATGAGGACAGTTAACTTAGATATGGAAGATGCCAAAAGCTGTCTGGAGGAAGCACTTTTCTTAACTGAGAACCCAGGGGAAGGACACAGTCAAGTGACAAAGGGAGGAGAAATACGTGCCAGGTGCAGGGAGCAGTATGTGAAAGGCCCAAGTGACACACACTAGTGCATTGAAAGAAATGATTGCAATCAGTATGGACCCAGAAGCAAGAGTTACCAGTAGATAAAGCTGTGAAGTGGGCTAGCTGCAGGAATGGTCAGCATCACAGGCACCGTTTGACCCCAGGGGCACGTTTGTGACTTTGAGATTGGAATGCAGGATGCAAATAATAGGCAAAAGGCAAGCGAAAGATGTAAACAGGGTCCAAATTGTAGGAGAATTTATAAGCCACAATTAAGTTTTTCATTACAGCTGGGCTGGGGCCCACCTATATTCCAGCTACTCAGGCAGCTGAGGCCTGCGGGACACAGGTCTGAAGATAGCCTGGAAATTTTAGTGAGAACCTGTGTCAGAAATATACTAAAAACACACCAGGCATGCTAGTGCCTGCCTGTAATCCTAGCATTCGGGAGACTAAGGCAGGAGGATTACTGCAAGTTCAAGGCCGGTCTAGGAGTGAATTCAAGATCAGCCTGATCTGCAAAGTGAGACTTTGTCTAAAACAACAACAAAAACCCCCATCAAAACAAAACTTAAAAAAATGAATGAAAAGGGCAAAGCATGTGCTGTAGTGGTAAATTATTTGCCTAACATGTCTGAGGGCCTTGGTTCAATCCCCAGTATCACTACAAACACAACATTGGATTATATCCTAGCACATGGAACCTGATGCAATTTAAGGAGTGTGACACACACAGCCTGTAAAAGTCACTCTGACTGCACCATTGAGAATGAGCTGGAAGGGAGCAGTATTATAGGAGGCCATGGCAATATCAGAGGTGAGCAGGACAGTGGCTTCTTCCAAGAATAGCTGAGAATACATGATTGTTTTAGAAAGTTCATTTGTTCATTCAGTGTGGGGGAGAATGCATCTCAGTTCTGATGGGAGATAACCCCTGACATTGTGTTTCTCTCTCCTCTCGAATATGTAGCCAAGTAGGGCAAATGACTCAGATTTTAATTTGCATACAGTATTTCCCATTTTTATTTTAGTGACAGAACATTTAGAATTAACAAAACTTATATAAAATAGTACGTATACATGTCCTATGTTTTTAATATTCTAGTGACTTTCAATTTGAAAATGTACAGATTATCCTAACATGTGTCAAATCCTGTGTTCCATATAGTTGTTCATTTTGGACCCAGAGAGAACCGGTCAGAAGACGCCATCATGATGAACACCCCTGTGGTGAAAGCCGCTTTGGAAATGGGCTTTAGTAGACACCTGGTAAAGCAGACGGTTCAGAGTAAAATCCTAACCACCGGGGACAATTATAAAACCATCAGTGACCTGGTGGTAGATTTACTTAATGCAGAAGATGAAATAAGGGAAGAGGCAAAAGAACGAGCAAATGAGGAAAAAGAATCAGGTGCGTGTGTTTGTGAATATAGTTCCTCTTTCCATAGAGATGTGCCGTCGTCACTCTGTGTCAGCTGCTGAAAAAGTGCATCAGTGAGTCAGATTTTCTTACATTTATTATTCTGGAATCAAACTGAAAATTTCTTCACATTAAAATATATTGTAGTTGCTTATTACATCAAAATCATGTAGATTGGTGAAAGCAATGCTTTCTTCTTTTCTTCATGTTTTTATTCTGAGTAGTTGACTTTGTATGCAGGTACTCAATGCTCATTTTTAATCCTGAGTTAGTTCCCTCACTCCTTTTGTTGTAAATTAAAATGAAGTCAGGCAATTGTTAATTTTGATGTTATCATAATAGTCTCAGTCTTTAATTATAAAGTTATGCACCAATTGTGATTAAATTCTCTGCATGCCCACACCAGAACTGAGTTCCCTCTGAACGTTTTTCAGGTAAGTCCTAGCATTCTGTTTTATGTTCTTTTAGGATAAGTTAGCCGTGTCCTCCCACGTTACCCTTCTGCTCCTCCAAATTCTATTGCTCTGACTGCCGTTACCACTCTGCCCCAGTCAAAGAGAAATGCTCATCTCGCACTGCCACTCTTGCCCGAACATGAACCAAACCCAGAAGTGCCTTCAGTGCAGCTGGAAACAGACTTCCCCTTTTAACAAGGTCGCACAGAAGATTTAGGGGTAACAGAGGAGCTGGATCACAGATGACAGTTTACAACTCTTAAGTAGGAGTTGACTTTTCTCGGTGCTGTTAGCCCAGCGTCCTAAATTTTTCTGCATGGCTTTTTGATTTATCTCTGTGTAGCTCTGAACAATTTACCCAAAAGATTCAGAATGTCCCAAACATGTTGTCCTTATCAAAGCTCAGGTCCCAAGGAAGAGCAAAAAGTTTGCTTTTATCTTTGTCCAAGGCCATGTGGGATCCATTCCCAGGGTAATTGACAGGTTGTCCACTCTGTTCAAGGGTGAACCTCTCCTGCCCATAAAGAAAAACGTACCACAACATAGTAATGCAGCATTATACATTGACCAGATTATAAATTACTCAGCTTTATACACCCAGTACAGCAGCCACATAATTCAGTCCATGCTCAGCCTAGTCAAATTTTCCTTCTCACTGGAAAGATTAGATAAGTCCATTCTTGGTACAGTCTTTTCAAGCTTAGCCATTGGTTGTCAGCCAACAGTTGACTAAAGAAAGCACCGACATTTACATTTGTGGTAGATCCTGCAAGTTTAAATCCATCCAACAATAAAAATATTTATATTTCTTTCATAGAAAATCAATCAAGTCTCCAGACATGACTCCAAGTTAATAATGTATCATGATTTACATTGTCAAAGAGAGCTCAGCCTCCCCCTCTGACTCTTCTGCCTGGCATACTGTCTGTACTTCATCTGTGCTCAAGAAATGCTGTTTGATGAGTGAATGATTTAGCTTAATGATTACTGTATAGTTCCCCAATAACAAAGAATGGTTAATTTATTGACAGATATATAGAGGCAAAATTTTTCCAGAATAAAATAATAAAACACTTCAAAGGTACATTCGAATCTTTAAAACCTGTAAGCTGCAATACAAAGTATGAGACTTTCCCCAGCTACTCGCAGTCAAATTGTGTGAATTTCAGAGGGGCTGGGGTGCAGCTCAGTGGTAGGGTACGTGGCCAGCATATTTGAAGCACTGGATTTGATTCCTAGCACCAAAACAAAACAAATCAATCATATTAAGTTAAACAAAACATAATTAGAAAAATAAACCTTAGATTGAAAAACCAATGCACTTCAACACTAAGTATAAATTATAGTTTTTATTTTCTAATGTGTTGCCATTTCTCTGTTGTAGATAATTTAACAGGATACATTGTTCCGAGTGTACCATGCCTGTGGATATAACTTCTTTATTCCTATTCTTTAAATTACTGAGGCTTGGCTTTTTTTCAGTGGTTACTTACAGAGCCTTAATTTTGTGCCAGGCACTTTTCTAGGTTGGGTCCTTTTTTCATTTATTCTCAGAGTTTCAGTTACTTTCAAAATGGGTATCTCGGGCCTGATCTCTTTGACCAAGCACCATTTATTTCTTTTTGAGATAGTTCTGTATTATTGGAAAAGTCAGTGTATCTAAAACGTAACAATCATCTTTCTAAGTAGTTCTTCTTCAGCAGGTCCCACTTCTGTTATTAGGTTACAGAAATAACATTGTGGTAGAAAATAAAAAGTCAAAACTAAATTAAAGAAACAGCTTAATGGCGTGTGGTACGCTAATGGCAGTTAATAAACGTAGATAATAAAATTACAGTTTCAAAATACAAAATTTGTTTGCTACTAAATATAAATCTAGATAGATCTTAAAGAAGAATAAGATCTAGTAGGACAAGAAAAGGTGGTCATTGATAAACAGGTATATTGTTTAAACTGTGTGTAATATCTTCCTGCTCTCACTATAAATTATTTAGATAGTGGAGATCTATGTGGTCTAGGGAAACAATTAAAATTTCAACTTAAAATAGAGTTACAGAAATTTGTGGAAGAATTTACAAAAAATATTTTAATTTTCTTGATTTGACCTTTTTCCAATGTGATTAGATTGAATTAAAATTTCAATTTCATTGCACCCTAACTTCGTTTGGGCTCCTGGGTTAGCAGGCAGACCTACGGAATGGTTACAGTGCAGACCACGGTCAGTCCCCGTCCACTCAGATCGAGTTCTGTGAGTGTCGTGTCCTTTGGCAGCTAACCTGTCTCACTGTGCTTTGTTTCTTCATCTGTTAAATGAGGGCATTAGTACCTGCTTGAAAGGCTCCTGTGAAGGCAACGTGTGAGACATGTAAACTTGCAGCACAAGCCTGCAGGAAGGGTCAGTTCTTCCATACTTAGGGTTACTACTCGGCACAGAGAAGCCGGTAGTCTGAACCCTAACAATCAGGACCAGTTCCTGATTGTGAATTAAAGATGGTTTCCATTCATCTGCATTTGTAGGGGTGGAAAGAATTTTGTGAGCACCTTGAATATGTTTGTATTTAGTTTCTTTCTTTTTTTCTTTTTCTTTTTTTTTTATATAGAAGATCTGTCATTGATCCGGAAGAACAGGATGGCACTTTTTCAACATTTGACTTGTGTAATTCCAATCCTGAACAGTCTACTAGTTGCGAAAGTGATTAATGAACAAGAACATGATGTTATCAAACAGAAAAGTCAGATGTCTTTACAAGCAAGAGAACTCATTGATATTATTTTAGTAAAAGGAAATATTGCTGCCACTGTATTCAAGAACTCTCTGCAAGAAATGGACCCAAAGTTATACAAGCATTTATTTGGTGAGTATAAGAAAATTATTTTGGGAACTGTTAGGACAGTTGAAAATATGCTCATAAATCATTGAGGGATACAGAAAATAATTTGATCTAATTTATAAATAAAGATTTCTGTGGTCTTAAAATTGTGAGTTTTGACCAAATATTGTGTGTGTGTGTGTGTATATGTGTGTGTGTGTGTGTGTGTGTGTGTGTGTCCATCCCCAGGGACTGAACCAGGGCCTTCACACTGAGCTACGTCCCCAGCCCGATATTATTTTCATTTTGAGACTTACATTACTGCATGTGGCTGACCAAGCTGGGCTTGAACCTGTGACCCTCAGCCCCTAACAGTGCTGGGATAGAAGGCATTTAGAATCCATTTAGAATTAATGAACTAGTTGTATCATAATTTTGACTTTTATATTGATTGGGTTTCCTTGAAACCTTTATTTACAAAAACTTTTGATTTGCCTGGTTCCCAACATATTCTTTGTTTAAAACATAGCTAAACAATAACCTTATTCATTACAGTAATATTTTTTTTCTTTTTTCTTTTAGTGCAACAGGACATAAAGTATATTCTCACAGAAGATATTTCAGGTAATAGAAATAACAATTTAAACCAGTAGAAAACATTTCATTTATGAAAAAAGAAAATTGTTACTTACTAAAATATCTTTCTTCATGTGGTATTTGCACACCATGGAGCACTACTCTGCCATAAAGAAAGATAAACTTGAGTCATGTATAGGAAAATGAATGCAATTTAAGATCATAATGTTGGGCTGGGGCTCAAGTGCTTGCCTGGTAAGGGCAAGGTGGTGAGGTTAATGCCTGGTACCAAAAAAAAAACCAAAATGTTTAATGAAATGAGTCAGACACACAGCTTAAATATCATACTGTTTCTCTTATATGAGAAACCTAAAGTAAAAACAAAGAGCAAAATAAAAGGTAGATCACAGGCAGTAGGGAGATAGATTGTTCTCCAAGAGGAGGGAAGGAAGAGATAAAATAAAGGAGCTGGAGAGAGGGGAGGAAGGAGGCATATGGTGTGACAGAAGAGGAATTAGGATGTGTTGTGTGCAGGCACCGACTGTACCTGAGGAAAGTAAAAACTGTACTGCACCCACTTACCAGTAAACTAAAATTTAAAAATGATTCTCTTCTTAGATCTACCAATGGAAGAACAATTAAGGAGACTGCAAGAAGAAAGAACATGTAAAGTGTGTATGGACAGGGAAGTGTCCATAGTGTTTATTCCCTGTGGTCACCTGGTAGTATGCAAAGACTGTGCCTCTTCTTTAAGAAAATGCCCTATTTGCAGGAGTACAATCAAGGGGACAGTTCGTACATTTCTTTCATGAAAAAGAACTTTTTCTAAACTCTAGAGTTAATGGATTAAGTGTATTGTAATTTTAACTTTTATAGTGATTTGGTTTCCTTAAAGACTTATTTATTACTTGGAGATTTTTATTTTATATAAATATATTTATATAATATATGTCTGTCTTTGTCACTTTTTTATCACTGGGATAAAATATCTGACACGTGCAACTTAAAGGAGGGGAGGTTTATTTTGACGTAGTATTTCACAAGTTGCAGTCCATGTTCAGGAGGTTTAAGTGCACACACAGCATGGCGGAAGGATCATGCCAGGAAGCAGGGAGAGTGAAGGCAGAAGCCAGCCAGGGATATGTGCTGCCCAGTGGCACTTCTTCCTGTCAGGCACCACTCTCCAGCGGCATACTCAGCTGTTGAACTTACTGGTAAACAATTCCAGTAAATGATAAGTACGGTACCCCATGATCCAATCACCCCTGTAAGCCCCACCTGTGAGCACAGAGGCCTTTGGGCACATTCTTGGTTCAAAACATAACATTCCATCCTGGCCCCCAAAACACATACATTACTGGTTTGTGTCTGTGTCTGTGTGTGTGTGTGGTGTTAAGATTGTACCCAGGACCTTGTATATGATAGGAAAACACTCTACATCTTGGCCCTTTGCATACCCCTTTATGCAAAATATACTTAGCCCATCTCTAAGAATCACCAAAGTTTTAATAATTCCACTGCTGCTGAAAAGTCCAAATCCAAAGTCTTCTCTGAGACTCAAGGCAGACTGTTAGCTGGAGTCCTTGTGAAATTTAAAAGAAAAGTTAAACAGCCAACACAGAGTGGCAAAGCGTAAGCATTCCTATTCCAAAAAGAAGCAATAGCAGGATAGAAAAGAATGGAACCAAAATGAGACTGCAATCCCAGCGTGGCAAACTTGTGTCAAGCACCCAGGAAAAATGGTGGTGAGACGTGAGTTCCTAAGGGCTTGAGCAGCCCTCCCCTGTGGCGCTGGTGGTTACAGCCCACGGGGTACCCTCTTAGGTTGGCTCTGTTCACTTTTTTCATGTGTTCCATATTCCTGGCTTCAACTTCCTGGGGTCTCCACTGCATTTTTTACTTTACACTCACTGTCAGGTTCACACTGCCTGGCCATCCAGGTCTTTTTTTTTTTTTTTTTAAATTTTATTGACTATTATTGGTATAGTTTAGGTATACATAATGATCACATGCATTATGTGGAATTCTTTATTTGTACATGATACATCTTGATTTCCCCCCACCCCAATCCTCTCTTATTTTTTCCCATTGGCATCCCACCTCATTCACAAAACTCGGTCTTTAGATTTGATTGGGCAGAAAGAATGTGAGCTAATGGATAGTCTGACTGTTAGATTCATGTTGGTCCCTCAGCAGTCTGAAGCCAGCCCCAGCCTAGCTGCCTCCTTTTTTCTCTTTCTCCCCCATTTCTGTCTCTGTGTCTCTGTGTCTCTATCTCTCTATCTACCTCTATCTCTTTCCCTCTCTTCTATACCAAGGAGTGAACCCAGGGAGTTATACATACCAGGCAAGCACAGTATTACTGAGCTACACCGCAGCCCTATTTTCATTTTCATTTTTTATTTAGAGACAGAGTTCCCCTGAGTCACCCAAACTGGCCTTGAACTGAGAAGCCTCCTTCTTCAGCCTCCTGACTATCTGGATTGCACCCACGTGGGTTTTTGTTTGTCTCCTACAGGGGATCGAACTCATGACTTTGTGATTGCCAGGCAGACGCTTAGGCTGCTGAGCTAAATCCTTGGCCTACCACTTGGGTTTTAATGTCAAACTCTTACACAGAGCACCAGAGGAAAGTTAATAATTCTGGTTTTTATGACTGGCTTTGGGGAAAATGTGTTCAGGTTTCTAGGATTCACTTTGGAGAAGAGGAATTCTGGTTTCTGTTCTTCAGAGGAGAAGGAGGAGCAAGGGGAAGGTCAGGAGAAGGTCACGATTTGCTGTGGAGCCTTCATTTTGGCTGTTATTTTCTGAGTCCCAACAACTAGAATATTATTTCACTTACTTTTTTCTTGGCAAATTCCTTCATACTCTGCAGCCTGTTACTTTCTCAGAGCTTCTGTGACTTTCCCCTTCAAGTTATATCCCTTTGATTGTCCTTGTCATGACACTTAACACTGTGTATTTACACATTGTTTGTTCAGTGAGTGCCACATTCTGTTGTCGAGTTCACCAGCAGGAGAACCTTGTGTGCTGTTTACCCTCATGTATCTGGTACCTAGCACAGATACGGACAGAAGAGGCTCTTACTGAATCAATATTTATGACTCCTTGTGAGTGGAGGTGAGCCCTGAGGGGGGATTTCATCCTCCTCCAACACCGCTGTTGATAAAATACTAAGGCATAATCATTGATAAAGTGAGAATCGTGGGCCAAATTCCATACTCCCCTAGCCATTAAAAATGGATCTTTACCAGGTGAAAGATTAAGTGGTTCAAAGGAAGTGGGACTTGGAACTGTTTCTATGTGATGAAGTTTGACATTTCAACTCAGGAAAGAACACAGCAAAAAGCACAAATGTGGGCACTAGATGTTAATAATACTTTGATGTTTATTGAACTTATACCGCACAACCTTTACATTACATTACCTTGAAGCTTACTGCAATTTTAGAAAGAAGGTAGCATGGAGATGAAAAGTACAGGTTTTGGGTTCAAATCACAGCCAAGGCTTCAGGGAAGACAGTGGAGTGATAAGCAGCAGAGAAAGCTCCTCTTGGAGAGTTGCTGTTCAGATGCTGGAACACAGCAGCCATGGAAGACAAGGAAAGTGGGTTCTGTGGGCCCAGGAGAATCTGAAGCATGAATTGAAGCCAACAGAGAGCATGAAGAGGAAGAAGGAGGTAGCTGATGGTACCTCCCTGAGGCAGGACTCACTGCATGAGAGGAGTGTTTGGACCTGCAGATACACGGTCATGGTCATGGTCATGGTGGTGGTGATGGCTGGCAACCTGGAAGCCAGTGCAGAGAGACACAGCAGTGGAGGGGAGAGTGGACATGAAGGACTGCACTGACTGGTGCTGTTGGTCCTGGTGTTCTGTGACTGAGGCCGACAGGGTCACAGAAAATACTGTGGCACAGTGCCAAAGAACCTGGGACTGGGCCAAACAACTTCTCATCTTCAACAATTGAAGAGGTACTTCCAACAGACTCAAAGCCCCCAAACTGGCTTCATCTGGAAGATACCTCAGAGAAGTAGTAATCACTTAATGCTCCTAAATACTAGCAATAAGGCAACCTACCATAGGCAATTTAAAAATAGCACCCCAGGAATTAAACAAACAAGAAAAAAAGAAAAAGGAAACAAAATGAGAAGACATTTAAACAAAATGCAACAAAATCCAGACATCCAGTGCACTAAAGGCAGATTTAGGGGGCAATGAGGTGAGATAATCCAAAAGCCTCCCTCTAGACCCCTCTGAAGTGTTAACAAAGCAATTGAATGAGGCTCGGGAAAAAATGTAATCAGAAATTAGTTCTCAGATAACTACAGAGATGGTGTCCAAAATAAAGACCATGCTTAGTGACACTAGAACAGAAACAGACAAAAATAGACACACTTAAAAAAATACAGAAGCTCAGCATAGGAAAGGAATGGAATCCATAAAGCAGATTCAAGCAGATATCCAAAAGGGTGAAAATTCCATTGAAAGTATTCCAAGTAGATTACGCCAATGTGAGAAAAAGACAGGCTTGAAGTTAGTGAGCAGGAAAAGAATTATTTCTCAAAAATAGCAAGGGGCCATTAGACACCAATCCAGCAACTGCTAGATGAGAAAAATAACTTAATCTTGACTGGAGTCAATGAGAAAGCAGGAGATACCACAAATGATCCAAAAAAATGTTCACAGACATCCTGGCAGTAAACTTTCCTGGTAGAGAAAAAGCATTTGACATACAGATAAGTGAGACATTTAGAAATTCAATTAGCTATGACAAACAAAATCATCTACAGCCAGGCATATCATAGTCAAGATCCCAGAAATTCAGCACAAGAAGAGAATCTTCCAAGCTTTTAGAGAAATGAAACAAATCACCTATAAAAGAAATCCCATCAGAATCACAGCTGACTTCTCAGCACAAGCTCTCAAAGCAAGGAGAGTTTGGAGTGAAGCATTCCAAGTTCTAAAGGAAAACAACTTTCAAGCCAAGTTGATGTGTCCCAAAAACCTATCCTTCAAAATTGATGGAGAATTAAGATACTTCCATGACAAAGAATAGCTGAGGAAATTTATAACCACCAAACCAGCACTCCAGAATGTTCTGAAGGATATTCTAGAAAGAGATAATAAGGACTAAAGCTCCATGAACCCCGAAAGCAGAAATATACCAGGCAAGGCAAACAATTAGAGGGAAGGGAAAAAGAGGGGAGAAGCTAACAACATCAAGAGTCATGATAAGAATAAGTCAATAACTATCAGTTATAACCGTCAATGTTAATGATCACAGTTTGCCAATTAAAAGATATTGACTGGCAGAATGGAATAAGAATCAAGATCCAAAAAATTCTACATACAAGAAACATATTTAATTCAAAAAGAAATTCATAGACTGAAAGTCAAAGGATGGAAAACAATACTCCATGTGACAGGAACCCAGAAAAAGTAGGGATAGCTATTCTATTTGCAGACAAGGGTCAAGACTGATTAAGAGAGATATAGAAGGTCATTACATCCTCATAAAGGAAACAAGAGGAAGAGATAACAATCATAACTATATATGGAAAAAATACCAGTGTACCTAACTATATAAAATAGTTACTAACAGAGATGAAAAATCAAATAAGCTCTAGTACAATTGTATTGGGAGACCTCAATACCCCACTGTCACAAAAGGAAAGATCAACTAGACAAAAAAATCTATAATGAAATATTAGAACTAAATCAAACTTTTGAACAAATGGTTATAATAGATGTCTATTACACCCCAGAACATCAGAATACACATTCTCAACTGCATACAGGATGTTCTCCAAAATAGACCACATACTAGCTCATAGAACATGCTTATGGAACTGAAATTATCCCATTCATACTACCAGACCACAGTGCATTGAAATAGAAAATCCACGGCAAAAGAAACCACAGAAACTTCATAAACACATGGAAATTAA